GGCCATTTGGAGAATGAACCAGCAGTTGGGAGAGTCCCCTCTCTCTCTCTCTCTCTCTCTCTTTCTGTCCCCCCCCCCATTCTCCCTCTCTTCCTCTCTTTCTCTATAATTCTGGCTTTCAAGTAAATAATTTTTTAAAAAAATATAAGAAAGAAAACATATAAAATTGGCTGATGAAACATTTCCATAAGATACTCAAAGAATGCCACTAACTAAGGCTTGTTACATTTAAGTACTACACTAATAAGCAGTATTTGGAGCTTTTGAGATTTGGTATCTGTTTCAGAGACCTAAAAGTAGGGGTAAAATATGATATATCAAAATCAAGAATGGAAAGACAAAACAAAAGCATATGGGAAATTTTTTGAAAGTTGGATAAGAAACCAATAGGAACTTTGAGATATGGATGTCCTTCTCTCTCTTTCAGCCCCCACCCCCCGCCCCGATTCTCCCTCTCTTCCTCTCTTTCTCTATAATTCTCTGTGCTCAAGATGCCCCTTGAGAAACCGTCATCTCATATGGGTGTACCTAGATTATATACCTGGCTCCTTATCCTCAGTCTAGTTTCCTGCTAATGCAGACTCTGAGAGGCAACAGTATTGACTCTCAAATAATTGGCTTCCTGCCATCCATGTGGGAAACCTGGATTGAGTTTTGGCTCTTAATTTTTTTTTTTTTTTTGAGAGGTAGAGTTACAGTGAGAGAGAGAGAGACAAGGAAAAGGATTTCTATCTGCTGGTTTACTTCCCAAATGGCTGCAATAGCCAGAGCTGTGCCAATCTGAAGCTAGGAGCCAGGAGCTTCTTCTGGATCTCCCACAAAGTGTAAGGGCCCAAACACTTGGGCCATCTTCCACTGCTTTTGCAGGTCATAGAAGAGAGCCAGATTGGAAGAGGAGCAGCCAGGACTAGAACCAGCTCCCCATATGGGATGCCAGTGCTACAGGCAGAGGATTAACCTATTGTGCCACTGCTCATGGCCCCATTGGACCTTAAATTTGGTCACAACCAGCCTAACCCTGGATCAGTCTTGAACTATTGGGAAGGCATGTGGAGAGTGAACTAGTGAATGAGCACCCACACTCACTCACTTGCTCTCTCTCCTGCTTGCTTCCTCTCAAAAAAAAAAAAAAGTAAAGATTAACTACAAATATACTAAATAAAGTGTTTTTTTTTAAAAAAAAAACAAATGTTAACAGGCTAAGGTAAGAATACCAGCATGCAAATCTCAGCTTTATTCTTCAACAGTTAAATAGGCAAGATATTTAAACACTTTATGCATCAATTTTCCCATGTGCACAGTAGAGATGATAAGAAATAACTCATAGGGCAGCTGTGAAAATGTTATAAGTTAGAAACTGTCGCTGTGGTTAGCCTCTGCCGGCAATGCTGGCATCCCATATGGGCACAAGTTCAAGTCCTGGCTGATCCACTTCCCATCCAGCTTCCCGCTAGTGCACCTGAGAGAACTGCAGAAAATGGTCCAAGTCCTTGGGCCTCTGCACATACATGGGAGACCCAAAATAAACTCTTGGGTCCTGGCTTCAGCCTGGCCCAGCCCCAGCTATTGCAGCCATTTGGGAGGTGAACCACTGGATGGAAGATAGATCTCTCTCTTTCTCCATCTCTGTATCTCTGCATTTCAATTAAATTTTTCAAAAGATGAAGAACAAAGAAAGAGAAAATGGGCCAGCGCCACGGCTCACTAGGCTAATCCTCCACCTGCGGCGCCGGCACACTGGGTGCTAGTCCCGGTCGGGGCGCCGGATTCTGTTCCGGTTGCCCCTCTTCCAGGTCAGCTCTCTGCTGTGGCCCGGGAGTGCAGTGGAGGATGGCCGAAGTGCTTGGGCCCTGCACCCCATGGGAGACCAGGATAAGTACCTGGCTCCTGCCATCGGATCAGCGCAGTGCGCCGGCCGCAGCGCGCCGGCCATGGAGGCCATTGGAGGGTGAACCAACGGCAAAGGAAGACCTTTCTCTCTCTCTCTCTCTCTCACTGTCCACTCTGCCTGTCAAAAAAAAAAAGAGAGAAAATGAAAATGTTGCAAGTTAATTATCTGCTTAATAAATTAATATAGACAAATATATTGGAATGTCAGCAATCATCATGATCATAATATTGGCATTATCATTATATTGTTATTTTGAAAAGAATGTAAGTTCATGCATACAGAATGCCCAAAACATTGAGAGGTTGATAGCTAAAATTTTTTCTAAAACTGCAGTCTATAATAATTGTTAAGATAATTCACAGAGGAAAATTGTTTGCTATATTAAGAACTATCTTTCGATACAAGGGGTTGGTGGAGTGACCCCACAAGACAGATGTAAAAAATAAAATCCTAGAGCAGGATGTAATAGTCCAAGCTTCTGGCAGGGTCCTCACATTTTTTTAAAGATTTATTTATTTATTTGAAAGTCACAGTTTACAGAGAGAGAAGGAGACACACAGAGAGAGATCTTCCATCCTCTGGTTCACTCCCAAATGGCCACAATGGGCAGTACTGCAGAGTGGGCTGGTCTTTGGTCCAAAGCCAGGAGCCAGGAGCTTCTTCAAGGTCTCTCATATGGGTGCAGGGGCTCAAGGACTTGGGCCATCTTCTGCTGCTTTCCCAGGCACATTAGCAGGGACCTGGATCAGAAGTGGTGCAGCTGGGATTCTAAGTGGTGCCCCTGTGAGATGACAACGTCCCATGTGGCAGCTTTATCTGCTGTACCACAACATTAGCCAGTTTCCAAGTAGTAACCTTGCCTGCCCTGGTGAAAAAAAGATATGGGCAAGACCCAAGTTGGAGCAGTTCAATTGAATATTTTAAAATGCCCCAAATTTCTATGATGGGACCATGTCAACCTTATCCAATGAACCTGTAAGTGTTTACTACCACCTCTCCCTCTCCTTCTCCCTCTCACTCTCCTCTCCCTCTCCCTCTCTCTCTCCCTTCAGTGATTCAAGCAACTCAGTTTATACTCTTCCTCCTTCCCTCTTACCCTCCCTTCCTCCCTCTCTCTCTCCTTCTCTCCTTCCCTCTCTCTCTCTTTCTTTCTTTTTTCTCTCAAAGGTGAAGCAATGAAGTTACTTAGAGAATCATATCTTATCTTCCTTTAAATTCTCCATGAGATTAGATTAAACTAAAGGGAGTGAAGTTTGACAGCCTTATTAAAGGACTATAATTCTATTCATACCCAAAACAGTATGGGTTTTTGTGCACATGTGTGAATTTATGTACAAGGACACTTCAAAAACTTGTGGAAAATTGAATTAAAAGATGTTTATTTTGTTGCAAAAACAGTTGAGAACAATGCATAGTAGGAATCGTCTTCAAAAAGTTCAAAGGGAATGTATACTATGAAAAACCTATGCATGAATTTTGAAGATTTTTGCACCAACATGCATTTATCTTTTAGTTCTCTTTTCCACAAATTTGTTGAAGTCCCTTCATATGTTCATATGTGTGTGAGTGGTGTATGCATGCGTGCCCAACACATGAGAAAAAGGAATATCTGTGGGCAGATGACAGTTCCATCAATGACCACAGAGAAGAACAGAGCAACAGCCATGGTTCATTTTAGTGGGGTTTAGAAAATTCACAGATGTTTGGAGCTGAAAGTGGAAAACTGTGATTTATCAAAGATGTCATCCAGATTCTGCTCAAGGAATGGATCCAAACCATAATAAAGTTGAATATAGAATGTGATCAGCTATAAATCTGGAATAATTCTGGGAAGAGATTTGTGGCATTTTGGAAAGAAAGTCATTAGGTAATTTTAATGGCATGAGAAGAGAAGAATGGCCCTAAAAAAGATGAAGAACAAATAGCTCTATATGAAAAATCAAAGTAAGAGTGATAATGTACTCTGTGAAACACTAACAGCATAGAAAATGCTCTTCTTTACATGTTATTTACACATACTCAGAGAAAGTAATCAGTGAAGCAAACATGGAGATTATATTCTCCCAGCTAGCCTTTCACAGAGGAAAAATACTAGAAAGTATATTAGTCAATGTCATATACTTACTCTGACTAAATATAACTGACCCCTACAAAGGGCATCATTTTTCCATGGAATTATATTGTGTCATTGTGTTTTTTTTTTTTTCAAAATACATTTAATGCCTAAGCCCCCAAACAAACAAACAAAAAAAGATTTTGCTCTTTAATCTTAAGAAAAGGAAAGTAACTCGTTGGATTTAAACAAGGTCTTCAACTCAGCTTTCAGTTTCTCTTTTACCAATATAATAAGTTTCAATTCTATGAAAAGTTATCACCTGGCTGCATTCTTTATCAGAGCAGATCAAACACACTTGCTTCTTCTCCCAAAAAATGATGGTATGTGTCATCCCTTTTGACATTCTCAACATCCCAATGGCTCATCAAAAGCCAAGTGTTTGGGCCAATGGTACCACTGGGTTTAAGTGGATTTTCCATGGGAACAATCCAGTAGGAGGTGCATTATGCCCACTTGAGTTTAAAGTAGATCCTTGAACATTTTTCTAGCAAAACTGCCACCTGTTTTGAAATTTGAGTTTTATGTCCTCACTTACATTTCTTCATTTACAAATTTTTGATCTGAAGCCTTGGAGACCTGGTTAGCACCTTCAATGAGAGCAAAGAAAATGGCATATGTTGCCCACTATGAGATTATAAGAAAGGCATTTTTATTTAGACAAATTAACGGTAAAACTACTACTCAACCAGTACTCTATACTTTGTGTGTCTGTGTGGGTGCAGTCTGTTGAAGTCTTTACTTAGTATATACTAAGTTGATCTTCTGTATATAAAGATAATAGAAAATGAATCTTGATGAAGAATGGTATGGGAGGTGGAGTGGGAGATGGGGTGGTTGCAGGTGGGAGGGAGGTTATGGGGGGAAAAGCCGCTATAATTCAAAAGTTGTACTTTGGAAATTTATATTTATTAAATAAAAGTTGAAAAAAAAAGAAAGGTATTTTTATTTTTTTAATTTTTTTTAAGATTTTATTTATTTATTTGAGAAGTAGAGTTACAGACAATGAGAAGGAGAGAGAGAGAGAGAGAGAGAGAGAGAGAAAGATGCTCCTTCCACTGGTTCACTCCCCAAATGGCCACAACAGCCAGGGCTGTGTCAATCTGAAGCCAGGAGCCAGGAGCTTCTTCTCAGTCTCCCATGTGGGTGCAGGAGTCCAAGGACTTAGGCCATCTTCCACTGCTTTCCCAGCCACAGCAGAGACCTGGATTGGAAGAGGAGTGGCCAGGACTAGAACGGGTGCCCATATGGGATGCTGGCACTGCATGAGGAGGATTAACCTACTGCACCACAGCGCCAGTCCCAGAAAGGCATTTTTAAACTATACTTTTTCTTCCTGGAGCCACCAAAATAAATAGCTCATATAAACTGTTTTATTGAGAAGATATATATACTATTATGACACATAAATATTTTTACTTTAAAATAGGGAAATATGTTATTTAATTACAAAAAAATTTAAATGGAAGAAAAACATCTAGGCAATAAATGAGGCCATAGTAAATTTTACATGTTATCTGTACTACTTAAAAAGCATTTTATGAGTAGTAGGAATAATCTATTCTTTTAAACCTTTATTCATTTACTTGAAAGGCAGAATGACATGGAGAAAAAAAGATGAGAGAGAATCTTTCATCTGTTGGTTCACTACCCAAATGCCCACAATGGTCCCGACTGAGTGACTCCAAAGCCAGGAGCCAGGAAATCCACTCAGGTCTCCCACGTGGGTGGCAAGGGCCCAAGCTCTTTAATCACCCTCTACTGCTTTCCCAGGTGTATTAGCAGGGAAGGTGAATTGGAAGTGGAACAGCCAGGACTAGAACCAGGGTGTGACAGGTGGCGCTTAACCATCTGCACCATAAGCTGGACCCTATTTTATTTTTTAAAAAGCCAGATTCAGGGAAGGCAGGGTGGCATAGCAGGTGAAGCCACCACTTGCAGGGTGAGCATCCCATATGGGTGCCAGTTCAAGTCCCATCTGCTCCGCTTCTGATGCAGCTCCTTGCTATTATGCCTGGGAAAGCAGCGGAAGATGGTCCAAGTCCTTGGGCCCTTGCACCCACACAGGAGACCTGGCTCCTGGCTCCTGGCTTCTGACTGGCCCAATTCTGGCTGTTGCAGCCATTTGGGGAGTAAACCAGCGGATGAAGCTCTCTCTCTCTGCCTCTGTAACTGCCTTTCAAATACATAAATACATCTTTTAAAACAAAAAAAAAGCCAGATTCATTAAAATCCTAGACAGTTGCAATTGAAGAACTATTAAATATATTTGTGCCTTAATTTCTTTTAAAGAGAATGGAAAATAGCTTACCATACACCTAATATGTAGGCTAGTGAAACTTGCTGATATTGCATTATAATCTCCATCTGAAATACATATAAATAATAACTGTGATTTACAGGTTCATTGAAATTCCATTCATTTTATATACTTACATTGGAATGTACAGTGAGTACTCCAATAATACTCGAGGAATTTAATTGAAGTTAAATGGTAGCCTAGCTTCAATGATTCATTTTATTTTGTTTATTTACCTACTTTGCAGGTTCTGTGCTGCATACTATGGTAAGATTGGAGCTATGGTAAACAATGTCTAACTATACTAAGGGAATGACTGTCCTCAAAGCTATTGACCAATTTTTTGCTGAAAAATATAATATTAAGCTCAATGACAGCTTAGAAGGCATTAAACAGGCAAAGTATTTTCCAGGTACAATCAGGAAATGTCTTTTTGTCCAGTAATCCTTAGCTAATTGTTTTTCGAAGTCTCTAAACACGTCCTACTTCTGATGCTTCCTAGTGACAGAATTAGCTGCAAACTGGTTTTCTTTTTCTCTTACCAGGCTTTTTCTCACTAAACAACTTTGCAATATACTTATGTACCACCAGGCTACAAAAAAGTGTCCATCTTCTCCCCTACCTAATTTACTGTTTTATAACTTGCTTATAATTGTCCACTGTCTGCACATCTGAACTGATTGTCCCTTGGCAAGGATAGATTTAAACTGATTCCTCTACTTAATCCTATGTAGTTTCTCTTATAACTAAATGTATATTATTCAAGGTATCTGTCCATAACTAAGATGACAGTCTGTGACCTGGAAGTGGGCAGGGGACACTGGAATATGCTCTTTTCAGAAACTCTATTACTACATAGTGACACTAATTGGAAATCATACAGATAGATGACAGATAGAACATAGATAGGTAGGAGATAGGTGATAGATTGAGATAGATAGATAGATAGATAGATAGATAGATAGATAGATGAAGGAAATTTTATACTTATGGGTCCCAGCTTCCAGAAAAAGAATGTCTGTCTTTTATGGAACCAGACCATATTGTGTTTTTGAGCATTGTAACACCAGGAGCCTAGAAAGAGAAAAAGAACAGTAGGGGAAAAGCACATTGGACATGCCAATAAATGAATGATAAATTATTAAAGCATGATTGGAAATATTGCCATTTTTCATAGCTGTCACTTTAAGTATAAAAGCATCAGCACATTAAACTAGTTACTGCTTTTTCATAATTGAGACTTTAGCTTCTAGCTGTGCCCTGCAGCTTTTCATTAATCACTGGGACTGAAGTTCAAGCTCAGTGACAGCTTAGAAGGCATTAAACGGGCAAAGTATTTTGCAGGTACGGCTAGGAAAGGCCTTTTAGTCCTATAATCCATAGCTAATTGTTTTTCAAAGTCTCTAAACGCAATCTACTCCTAGCGTTTCCTAGTGACAGAATTAGCTGCAAACTGGTTTTCTTTTTATCTTCCCAGGCTTTCTCTCACTAAAATCTATTGAGGGTCTATTGTTAGCTGCATAAAACAGGTGCAAAATGGCTGTGATATGTAAAACTGTAACTGATACTTAACCAAGGAAACATTTATTAGATTGCCTCTGAAACAATACTTCCTGAATACTGATTCTAATCATACCATTTAATTTGTCATAAAAGAAACAAGATGCCACGAAACTTTGAAAGCATTCTGAGTTCACTTTTCTGACAGAAAAAAAAGACCCTGGTAGATTTTTTTTAAGAAATGCAACCAAATCTTCACCCAACATGAAGTAAGCATGTGACATCCCACATTTACACTTGAACTCCAAGATTCCCAGCCTAAGCCCTTCTGTTGCTTTGGTTCATCATTTTCTCTTTCCTTCTCTGAAAAGTATTGTACATCAGGTTTAATGGATGTGCCAAAACATTCTTTCTTTTGTATAACAAATTATCAAGAGCATTGAGGTTCATTAATTATGTCATCTAATTGGATTGAGGCAGGTGCAAAATACCTCAGATGAAGTGGTCACTGGCAGGAAGGCCTAAGTGCAAGTTTTTCTATTAGAAACCAGCATGTCTCCAGACTCCTGGAATTACTTTGTACTTATTGATTAATGGCCATAATTTATTACAGTGCAGAAGATCTTGCATTGAGTTAAATGTGTGATTAATCAATTTTCCATCAAATTATGAACAGTAGACCAGTTGCCAGAAAGAAAATACCAAGTACATTTTCCCATGGTGTAAATATATCAGGACTTCAGCTAATAACTGTCTATCACTTGCTTAATATTCCCTGTCACACTGATAAATGTCATCTCCACAAATGGGCCACAGGTAGTAATGATGGAAAGACCACCAAACATGTTTTATAGCTGCCCTTCTTATATAATGAAATACTCTTTGAGTCCATCTCAAAACAATTTATTAATGCAAAATTCATTTCTGCCTTCAGCTTGAAATACATCATTGTTAAATCAACAATCTTATATTAAACTGAGAACGAATATTGAGGAAAGGAAACCTTAGGCGAAGAGAGATGAATTTTGGACTTCCTATGTACAGGAGCTCATTTTTATTTTCCGTCAAAAATTCAGACATGTAACTAATTGTTGTCAGTTCTAATCTGCTTTTAAAGCCCAGCCCAGCACATGGGCAGCTTGGGAACAGCAAAGGGACCCGCTGATCGAAGAGAAGAACACATTTTGTTCTAAAGATTAATTTCTCTGATTAAATAACAAGTATTGTAAGGGTTCACAAATTAATTGTCTCCTATGAGCAAAAGTACTTCATCTTACAACTAACTGAGGTAGATGCTACCTCCTAAAAGAAGTACAAGAGACAAGTGAAAGTGATGAACTAACACAACAGTGCCAAAATCCATTGAGTTTTGGGAAAGTAAACTTGCATTAAAACCTCCATACAGAAACAAAAACTGATTAGAATAGGGAAAGATTTCACAGGAACAAATAAACATACATATGACAGTGATCAGTCACTGGGCCATCCCAATGCCGATAGTAAAAAATGTGTTCAACTTCTCTTGAGCATTGCAAGAGTCCTATAATGCTGGGGCTGACGATGGGCACAGATTTTCCTCATCCTGATCAGGGAGAACCGTGATCCCATGGTGGGAGCTTGCTGTGCGGATCCCACACCAGCTCTTACTTGATGTTCTCCGGATCCTGACTCTGTGATGATGAATTTTAGCAAGAGAGAAGTCCCTGTTTTGAGATTAGGATATAAACACCTGATCACACTCACTAGTAGAAGTTTGCTCAGTGGTAAACCTCTCAGCTGCATCCTGATGGTTTATGCTTTCTAGCCTGAAGCTGGGAAAAAGAGAATGGATTCCACTCTTGCCACTTTATCAGAAATTAGGAATTTTTGTCTTAAGCTTAACCCTTAATACAAGGAAATTTCCCTTATCTCCAAAATAGTTGGTTCCATCATAGTTGTGGTAGAGCTATTATCCTAGGATAACAGGTGTAAAGCTTCCCAAACCACTTTCCTCATTGCCATAGTCTCTGAAGTTGAGTAGAATATCGAGTCTCCAAATCTTTTCTTCTCTGGAAATAGTCACATTCTCTTATCAACCTTAGATTCTCTCCGTTTCTACATTACATGTGCAAGTGGAATATAAACTAAATGTATCTGTACCATTCCCATTAATAGGTTGACTGCATAACTTGGAAGCCCTAGCATTGAAAAAACTCATAGTTCCCAGCTGTCCTTTTAATGCCATATAAGGGATTAATTTTAATTGTTCTCTATTCCTATATTCCCCCTTCTGTCTCATACAAAATTTCTAAGTATGCTTGTATTGAATATTTTGTTTATGCTAGGTATTAAATTTTTTTAATTCCTCAAGCTCAGGTCTCAATCATTTTAACACCTACTAAATCTTTCCAGTTAAGATGGATCATGCTTCTTTTCCCTGGAAGCAGGATTAGGGCTTTCCATATGCCTAGCAAAAATACAGCCTAGAGAGATATTTATTTTCCTGGCCCTGAAGAATTCTTGAGTTGAATCTCACTCTGACACTTTAATATGCTTCTTCGGTAACACCATATGTGAAATGGACCTCCAACTTGCCACACAGAAGGAAGTTCTGCTATAAGGAGGGGAGATATGTGATAATAGCAAAGAAAGTAGGATGTTTATGCATTGAAATGTAAAATGGTACAACCGCTGTGGAATCATATGGCACTTCTTCAAAAAAGTAAACAAAGGATTACCATATGATCTAACAATCACAAATCTGTACATAAATGAAATTGAAAGCAAGGGGGCTGGCATTGTGGTACAATTGGTTAAGCTGCCAGCATCCCATATGAGTGCGGTTTCAAGTGCCAGCTGCTCTATTTTTTATCTCACTCTCTGCTAACGCACTGGGGAAAGCAATTGAAGATGACCTATGGATCTGGGTCCCTGCAATCCATGTGGGAGACCCAGATTAAGTTCCTGGCTCCTGGTTTTAGGCTGGCCCAGCCCCTAGCTCATCCCCTGGCCAGCCCCTGTGGCCATCTGGGGAGTGAACCAGCAGATGGAAGATTTCTTTGTCTCTCTGACTCTTCCTCTCTCTCTCTCTCTAACTCTGCTTTTTCTTTCCTTCTTTCTTTCCCTCCCTTCCTTCCTTCCTTCCTTCCTTCCTTCCTTCCTTCCTTCCTTCCTTCCTTCCTCTCTCTCTCTCTTTCTTTCTTTCAATTTATTTATTTATTTGAGAGGTGGAGTTACAGACAGAGAGAGGGAGACAGAAAGAAAGGTCTTCCATCCACTGGTTCACTCCCCAAATGGCCACAATGGCCAAAGCTAGGCCTATCCAAAGCCAGGAACCAGGAGCTTCTTCCAGGTCTCCCACATGGGTGCAGGGGCCCAAGCAGTTGGGCCATCTTCTACTGTTTTCCCAGGGCATAGCAGAGAGCTGGATCAGAAGAAGAGAAGCTGGGGTACAAACCAGCGAGCATATGGAATGGTAGTGCCACAGGCAGAGGCTTAACTTACTATGCCACAGCTCTGGCCCTGTATTTCTGCTTTTCAAATAAACAAATAATCTTAAAAAAAATAGAATTGAAAGCAGAAACCCAAACATATATTTATTACACTCATTTTCACAGCAGCATAGTTCATAATAACCAAAAAATAGAAACAATCAAAGCATCCATTTACTGATGAGCTTATAAACCAATGTGGTATATGCATACAATATAATATTATTCAGACTGAAAAAGGAAGGAAATTCTGACCCATGCTACAACATGAGTGAACCTTAAGACATTATGCTCAGTGAAATACAATGGTCACAAAAGGTCAAAGACTGTATTATTCCACTTTTATGTACCAAAAGTAGTCAGATTCATAGAGATGGGAAGTAGAATAGTGGTTGCTGGAGATTCAGGGGAAGAGAAGCGGGACATTATTTTTTAAAGGGTATGGATTTTTAGTTTTTTAATATATTTTATTCATTTGAGAGGCAGAGTTACAAACAGAGAGAGGGAGAGACAGACAGAAAGGTCTTCCATCTGCTGGTTCACTCCACAGATGGCTACAGTGGCCGGAGCTAGGCCTATCCAAAGCCAGGAGCCAAGAGTTTCTTCCATGTCTCCCACACAGGTGCAGGGGCCCAAGGACTTGGGCCATCTTCCACTGCTTTCCCAGGTCATGGCAGAGAACTGGGCCAGAAGAGGAGCAGCCGGGACTTGAACAGGCTCCCATAAGGGATGCCAGTGCTGCAAGTTGAGGATTAGCCTTCTGCACCACAGAGCAGGCCCCTGGGTTTTTAGCTTTGTTGATGAAAGGAGTTCTGGAGATGGATAGCGGTGATAGTAGCATAACAGTGTGAATGTACTTAATGCCATCAAACTGTTCATTTAAAAACAGCTAAAATAGTAACTTTTATGTTATGTATATTTTACTACAATAAAGAATAAAAAGAACAAATTATTATGACAGATGTAAGGAGAGCAGCTCAGAAGTGGCCTCGCCAGTTTGAACTTGAACTTGAGCTCTCCTCTACCGTGGTACAGACCCCAGAAAGCTATGACAAGTTCCCTTTAGAACAACCTGAAACACAACTTTTCTACATGTGGAAAAAGGTTGAGAACTTCAATTATGTGACATGTCATTCTTGGGGACATTTCTGCCTCTTAACAAAGAGCGAAACAAGTGGAAGAGTGACTGGCAAGCACTGTATCAACCTGGACTTGAAGCCGGAGTCTTCAGCGGCTGCACATTTGGAATCCAGTCTCCAAGTGGGAATATATCAACACTGCTGCCCCAGTAGTGGAGAGAATGAAAGCCCCTTGTAGAGGGGCAATTATTACTCACCTCTGATGATTGAGGCAGCATTGTAAAGGTTAGTTGTTGCCAAATCTTCTGCTTTCAAAAATAAAAGAGAGAGAGAGAGAATCGCCTGGATATATCATTATTGTTGCAAATATAGTTTTGACAAGTGAGTGTTTAAGAATGATACATTTCTATTATTTTTTTAGATACACAGATACACAATTAGTGTTTTTTTTTTTTTATTTGACAGGTAGAGTTATAGACAGTGAGAGAGAGACAGAGAGAAAGGGCTTCCTTCCGTTGGTTCACTCCCCTAATGGCCACTAAGGCCGGAGCTATGCCAATCCGAAGCCAGGAGCCAGGTTCTTCCTCCCGGTCTCCCATGCAGGTGCAGGAACCCAAGCACTTGGGCCATCCTCTACTGCACTCCCGGGCCATAGCAGAGAGCTGGACTGGAAGAGGAGCAACCGGGACTAGAACCCTGTGTGCCAGTGCCGTAGGCGGAGGAATAGCCAAGTCAGCCACGGCGCTGGACATCTTAATATTGTTTTAATGACCCAGGATTAATTTGTAATTTACTGTATATGAAGGAAATGGTGAAATTTTCATTTGCTTATTGTTAACTCCTGTTGCCTATATTCTTGCTGAACTAGAATCCTTTTATTTTTTACTTGTGGAACTCTTTTGAATGGAACATTAAGCCTTTGACTACAATGAAAAATTAAATATATGCTATCTCCAGCGCTGTGGTATAGCAGGTAAAGCCACCATCTGCAGTGCCAGCATCCCATATGGGTGCCGGTTCAAGTCCCGGCTGCTTCACTTCAAATCCAGCTCTCTGCTATGGCCTGGGAAAGCAATAGAAGATGGCCCAAGCCCTTGGGCTCCTGAACCCGTGTGGGAGACCCAGAAGAAGCTCCTGCCTCCCGGCTTCAGATTGGCGCAGCTCCAGCTGTTGCGGCCAACTGGAGAGTCAGATGGAAGACCTCTCTCTCTCTTTCTCTCTCTCTTTCTCTCTCTCTCTGCCTCTCCTTCTTTCTCTGTGTAACTCTGACTTTCAAGTAAATAAATAAATCCTTAAAAAATACTATTTCAAAAATTAAAAAAGAAAGAAAGGAAAGAAGGAAGGGCAGGAGGGAGGGAAAACGGGAGAGAGGCAGGGTAGAAGTGTCATTATATTGTTAGAATTGTACCTATAAATGACACTAAATCTGTTTTTTGTATTAATATCACATTAACATAAGAATTGATGAGAATTGTGCTGTAGTGATTATCATATATTTGCTATGTCTGAGAATCTTATGTATTAATACATTCCTTAAATAAAATAGAACCAAAACTACAGATGTTTATAGAAAACATGCAATATTTATAGAAAAAATACAAAGAAAGAAATCATTTAAAATACTGTGTAGGTTTTAACTTGGTGACAAATGTGGCCTTTGGGTCACCAGTTTGTTCATTCTGCATCAGTGAACAGCCAAGTCTTCTACCACTGGTTATTCTCTAGACCATGTTATTAAGAAGCTATCGCCATCTCTCAGCTCTGAACTCACAGACATGTCATTTGTATCTGTTCATACCTTTACATATGTCTTCTTTCTTTATAGTTTCTCTGTGTGTAGATATGTATGTGTATACATATGTGATTTTGACTACCACAATGAAAGCTTCTTGAAACAGAATACTATAATTCATCTTTTTTTTTTTTTTTTTTTGACAGGTAGAGTAGACAGTGAGAGAGAGAAACAGAGAGAAAGGTCTTCCTTTTGCCATTGGTTCACCCTCCAATGGCCGCCGTGGCTGGCGCGCTGCGGCTGGCGCACTGCACTGATCCGATGGCAGGAGCCAGGTACTTATCCTGGTCTCCCATGGGGTGCAGGGCCCAAGCACCTGGGCCATCCTCCACTGCACTCCCTGTTCACAGCAGAGAGCTGACCTGGAAGAGGGGCAACCGGGACAGAATCCGGCGCCCCGACCGGGACTAGAACCCGGTGTGCCGGCACCACAAGGCGGAGGATTAGCCTAGTGAGCCGCGGCACCGGACTATAATTCATCTTTAAATATACCCATGATGCTTAGTATAGTATCTTATACCCATTATCTGTTCAGTAAGCACTTGCTAACTAAGAACATGAAAATCAGAGAATGATGACCTCAAATAATAGTAATGTACATGTGCATTTTCAGTTGTCTATCTTTCTATTTCCTTCTATGTTCTAAATGTTAATGTTCTTGGGACCAGCATTGTGGCAGAGCAAGTAAAGCTGTCGCCTGTGACGCCAGTGACGCCAGTATCCCATATAGGTGCTCGTTCAAGTCTCAGGTGCTCCACATTCAATCCAGATCTCTGTTAATATACCTGGGAAGTGTAACAGCAGATGACCCAAGTGTCTGGGCACCTGACACTCATGTGAAAGACCCAGATGAAGCTCTTGGCTCCTGGCTCCTAGCTCCTGGCTCCTGTCTGGTCCAGTCTCGGCTGTTGCAGCCATCTTGGGAGTAAACCAGCAGATGGGAGATCGCTCTCTCCCTCTCTCTCTCTCTGGAACTCTGATTTTCAAATAAATATATATATATTTAAAAATACTAAGATTCTTTATTAATTCTTTTATCCCTGATTAACTGTTAATTGTCGATGTCTGCATATTGGCTAATGTAATCCACATACAAACCCCAAGATGCTGGTGCTATTATAGTCCATAATTTCAAATGATGAAATTTCCATATGGAATGCTGGCATTTCTGGCCAGAGGGTTAATCCACTGTGCTACAGCGCCAGGCCCTCAGTTTCTCTTCAAAATCTCAATTTCATGGGAAAAATTTTCCTCCATGTCATGTGTGTATTTCTTTAACTCATAAATTTGCTTCTCATTGCTTCTGAAAAATCCTATGATCAACCTGAATTTTTTTCTTTTTTTTAATTTTTTTTTTTGACAGGAAGAGTGGACAATGAGAGAGAGAGACAGAGAGAAAGGTCTTCCTTTGCCGTTGGTTCATCCCCCAATGGCTGCCGTGGCCAGCGCACTGCTGCCGGTGCACCACGCTGATCCAAAGCCAGGAGCCAGGTGCCTCTCCTGGTCTCCCATATGGGTGCAGGGCCGAAGAACTTGGGCCATCCTCCATTGCACTCCCGGGCCACAGCAGAGAGCTGGACTGGAAGAGGGGCAACCGGGACAGAATCCGGCGCCCTGACCTGGACTAGAACCCCGGGGTGCAAGCGCCGCAGGTGGAGGATTAGCCTATTGAGTCGCAGCGCCAGCTCAAATGATGAAATTGAGCAGTAAAGCAACTTGCCTGAAATCACAGAGAGTACAAGTAACAGAGCCAGAAATGGATCCAAGGTAGTGGGTCCCTTAAGCATCACATTAAGCTGCTTTCAATGAAAATACTTGGAAGGAAACTGCTAATGGGGGCTGCCTCAGTGCTGGAATGAAGGCAAGAGGATCAAGATAAAGATCTCAATGGCTCTCTTCCTTTTCAACTAAAATTGTATTTTGCTTTTATTTTACTTCAGTTTTTACAATAAGAGGGATTGCAACTGCATCTCTCAAGTGATGGTTGAATTAAAACCTTAGATTGGTCACCAGTACAAAAGTTTAGCAAAAGTCAAAGGCAACTTGCTGCGACAATCATTGGGTTGTATGGAATTTATAACAGAGTACTGCATATTTTATTATTTATAAATCGTGTGCTACACATCCTTCATTTCAATAAAATACACAAAAAAACCTGTATGCACATACTCTTATTTGCATAGGCCCACACATTTTGTTCCAGAGAGCCATTTGTCATACTGCTCTATTGGTGAAGCTGCATCTATTTGAGTTCTGGCTAAAGGAAGCTGAGTTGGAGATATTCTTACTTTGGCTTAGCGGGATATATTTATGAGGTTTCAAGTCACTTCCATGTATAGCGAGGTTATTGTTAGCCATACACATTTAGGAAAGGCTTCTATAAATATTTCCACTACCCACTGTGCTGGCTTAGTCAGGACAATGACATGAAAGCGCAGGGCCAGAGATTGTGTTGTGATATGAACATACCTGTGGTGCCTAGGGCAGGAAGTCTGTGGGCTGTGGTAAAGAAACAGGAGCCAGAAGTTGGGCTGTGGAAAATTCCTCCAATTAGCAGCCATGAAACCTATTAGCAGGGAATGAGGATATCACTGACATCTAGTAAAATTCAAAATTCTTCCCTGTTGGGAACATGCACGGTATTTGAGTGTTTAAAAATAATTACCTAATTTGGAAAGCCAACTCTGTGGTGGAGGTGGAGGCATGGCAAAGAAGACATCGGTAGCCACAGGCATTTTTCATTCTTGGTGGAAGGAGCCTATTTGATAAAGCTTAACATCAACAATTCACTTTGGAAAATGTTTGAGAACAATTCAATGGAACAATTGAAATGTTATAATCATCTGATTTGGGCATATATGAAGATTATCTTCTTTTCTTTATCTTTAACAATCTGAAAAAGATAAAAACAAATATAAAAAGTAAGAAAGTACAGCAATGAACTAAAAGAAATTGATTATTAATTTTAATAAAACTTTCATCAGGGCATAGCAAAAGCAATTAATTCTGAGAAGAGATACAATTCACATATATTTCAACTATAACAATTGTTATGAAAGAATCTGCCAGACTGATAGGCGGTGAAAAGGAACATTTTATGAGGGTGACAGTATGTTGGAAAGAATACTGACTTAATAAGCACAGGTTCTAGCCCCAGATCATCCCTAACCAATGAGACACTGGACTATTTGTGATTCTTTGCTGCTAAAATAGTCACTCAGCAACTGAATTGCAAGTTCTCTCACTCTCCCAATCAATTCTGATACCTGTCATGAATAATAAATTTCCATTTTACAGTGAGATGGTATGCCATTCCTACAAATTAACATTGAATAGCTTATTAAGTATAGCATGAGATAATGCAAAGAGTACTTTGAATTCATTTTTAACTGAATAGGACTTTGAGGAATTTGTCCTCCCCATTGCCCTCATGCCATCCAACCCCTGAAAACACTTTCTGTACCACGGCAGTATTGCCAAGGACATCCATTTGTTCTCTTCCTACCAGACTCTGCCTCAATAGCGTAAGGTCCAAGTTGGCAAATGGGTTGGAAATTCAGAGCTCATTTCCCAGACTGTGGTGTCTGTGGTCAAGCATTAGAAAAACATTATTTCTTGTTTCTACATTTTGGAACACCACTTTTAGAAGGGCTACTTGGGTCCACAGCAGACAGCAGTGAGGCCAAATGCTTTTATATATTTTATCCATGACTTGGATGATGAAATAAGGGTCTTGTTTTTTCATTTTAAGGATGAAATTCTGGGAGAAGGTGTTATTAGCCCCTCAGAAAATCTGATGAAAATTCAAGAAAATTCAAGTAATTTAGGAAAGTAATTAAGAAAAAAAGACTGAGCGATTTCAAGACACATACACTGAATGGTGCAGATTTAAATTCTTTTCAATAATTTAAATATAAAATAAAAACATATTTTATGTAGTGATTGATAAATTGTATTATCAAATGCTGAAACTGAAGCTGTAAATTAAAGAAAAGACAGCAATATTTTTCATTCTCCAATGTTTTATTCCCTAATAATGGTTTTATTCTCCAATAGGCATCATGACTCTGGTGGAACTTGGGCATACACAGGAATAGTTTCAAATTCACCCACAGTTTTATTCTTGAAATTAGTAAAATGAGTATAAAACATTAGAAAGCAACCCAGAATTATCTGTAGGAATTTTGGTTTTGTACTTTTCTGCGTTTTGGACATAGCTGTAGAAATAAGAGAGAAAAGTATCTTGGACACAATTCATAAGAAAGTAGTAGCCCTGATCACAGAATTAGACAATATGATTATAAAAAGAAATCTTAGCAGGGATTAAAATTGTTAAAAATGTAACCTAAGAAATGACTGATATAATAAAGAATTCAATGTTGTTAGGATTCTAGCATATCCAAAAATGCATAAAATGAAACAGACATCTTGTGATCTGATTGTTGTTTTTAGCCCTTGTTTATACTCCTGTGGAACTGTGGTCTTTCTACTTACTTGTTGACTATTATGGTTAGTGGGCTTAAGCCTGTGATTATAGATTATATTGAAATTATGTCTTTGCAAAAATTAAAGAAAGAAAAAGGAAAGAATGAAGAAGGAGGATTGAGAGATGGAGAGGTGGAGGGTGGGAAGCATGCCTATCTTTTTAGAATTGTGTCTATGAAATACATGAAATCTGTTCTCTTCATATTAATAAAAATTTAAAATAAATTTTAAAAACATTCTCTGTTGAAACTATGTATAGAAGAAATTCACTTTTTAAATGGTGTTTGGACCTTAGGAAGCTATTTGCAACCATCCATTTAGACTCTTGGCTGCAGCAGAGGGGCAGCCCTGCCGGGTAGATAGCCTGGAGGCCTGCGGCTAAGAATAGTCCTCTCCGACTGCATTCAGGCTACTCCAGCTCCTACTGCCTCCTTTTAATACGAAGTATCAGGGAGTCCTTGCCCTTAACTTGCTCATTTTATCTATCAGTTAACACTTTAGCAACTAGAAACCAAACTCAGAAAGAGAGTGGTGTGACAGTGTGGGTGTGGAGCTCTGCTGGAGATCAGAGCAACCGACAACAACATGGGAAGGGAGGAAAGGAGTGTTTGTCAGAAAGGAGGAATGTACAAGGGATGTCAACCGCCTATCAACGCATTTCCGGTGTGCAGGCCAAAGGTCATCAACTCCCGACCTAGCATAACCCTTCAGTTTGGTATGAAACGATGAAAGGAAGTTTAAAGAACTCTGTGTAAATGTATCACAGGCAGAAATTCCAAGGTCCATGAGGTTCTTTCATCTGTAGAGTGCCAGGGTTGGTAGGAAAGGGTAGAATGATTTGACAATTCTTAGATCCTTTTACTAAAATTAGTTTCTGGCAAGGACTCACAGCAACATTGGCCTACATTTCCCAGAACTGCTGTTCTTGTGCTTTTGCCTAAATGTGTTTTCATAGTTTTGGAAACCATTTAAATATCCATATTTTGTGTAATACTGACGTTGAAAGTACAGATCGCTTTAACAAAACAAATACAAGAATCCTATTAATGTTCTAGAAATATGAAAATAGATGTACACAGTTAACCAGAGTTGAAATCTTCTGAGATTTGAGAGACAAACAGTTCTTGCATCAGTTGTTAGTATTTTCTCTCAAAATCAACTTTTAAGACAGGAAATTTCAAAGTCCTAGCAAACTTTTATGTATACATATGTGTGAGAGTGTGTGTGTTGTGTATAACAGAGCAGGTCCTTTCATAAAATCAATGAAAAATTATGTGTCTTTTACCAAAATCTTCCAAAAAACAGCTTTTCACAAAAGGAAGTTGGGTTAGATAGACGTTACTGTTTCTAAGAGAAATAGTCTCTTAGAAATCCCACCAAGTATAAATTATTATTCACATTATTATCTAAACAGAAAGAAACTCTTTGATTCAATAATAAGTTTCCTCAAAGTGTCGATTTGAAAGTATTCTGCACATTATGTACATGTGATGTTTGAGCCAAATCTATTTCTTTTTCTAAAAAAGATTTATTTTATTATTTACTTGAAAGTCAGAGTTACACAGAGAAGGAGACAGAGAGAGAGAGAGGGAGCTGTGCCGATCCGAAGCCAGGAGCCAGGATTTTCTTCAGGGTCTCCCACGTGGGTGCAGGGGCCCAAGGACTTGGGCCATCTTCTACTGTCTTCCCAGGCCATAGCAGAGAGCTGGATCAGAAGTGGAGCAGCCGGGACTTGAACCAGCACCCATATGGGATGGCACTGCCAAAGGTGGCTTTACCCACTATGCCACAGCGCCAGCCCCGCCAAATCTATTTCAAACATACATTTACTAGATTTTACGGAAATATTCATTTATTATTATTTTAAGAACTTTCTACAACTACACATGGAAAAATGTTACCTTTTCCCTAATCCACCACTTTAATAGAAATATTTCCTCTAGCAATTATTTATTCCCATTATTTCTGTTAGTATTAAAATCCTCCAAAGTTTAACATTTTAGTAAAGGATTAAATAAAAAGCACTATCAGTATCTAGTGTTCTAAAATGAACTTTCTACTTTTAGGCTAATTTTCCTAGGCCTTGCATTAAATATTGTGTGCAGTCATGGTAGTAGCAAAAATGCCTGCTAGAGTCCCCAGCAGGATAGGACAATTAACAAATCTGTGAATTTTCCTCCCATTTATACTTCAATTTTAAAGGTTAAATGTTAGTTTGTTTAAGATGCTGTATGCATTGGTCAGAGACACTTCTGTACAGTAGTGATTTGGTTTCTTCTTGATAGAAAATATAAAATCCAACATGTATAAGAAACCAAATGTGATTTCATATTTTATACTCCTATGACCATGAACATTTTGAAGTCCGTGGAATACAGAAATAATTCAATCTATTCCATTTCCATGACATGTATAGACTGTCCATATTGCAAATAGCATTGTAAAGCTACATTCGTAAAGGTTAAATCTAGTAAGTAAACTACAAATACACACGCAACTCATTCAAAGATGCATGTTAAAAGCATAGAGTCAGACTAGAGGAATGTGTATTGAAGGGAAAATCATTGTGGCTTTGCTTTGAACACAGGTAGAGTTGATCTGCAATGGGTAGGCACCAGAACATGTCCAATCTGTAGAAATGTGGAAGTGTTTCCTTACTGGAGTGCCTTCCTTCACCTTGGCTGCTGGAGCCCCTTCCTGAGACTCCCTCCCTTAATCTCTCCTTGTTTTAGAAACAAAAGGAATAAATTCTGGTTCAGCAGTAAACTTTCAGTCCTAGGGGCTGAATGTGGTGACCTATGTCTTCTGTATTCCTTGATGGAGTTATTGGAAGGCAGTTTGGCTACTAGCCTTGTCTCCTGAGTATCTACTCTAAACATGCAGTGGAAGTGGTTGGAGATAAAAGGGGAGTTGGAAATAGACCAAAAAACTTAATTTGTTGGACATGTAATTCGAAAACTATGCCTTAAAGTTGGCATCAAAACCTCAACTGCCTACAAGAGTTTAAGCAAACAAAGTAAGTGAGGCAGAGGCAGACTGTGGCAAAATAGAGAGTATGTGCCCCAGAAGAGCCACTACTTTGGCACAGTGTTACAACATCTTTTGCCATTTCATACGATACTAGAAAATGGTGTTTGCATGTGAAATCTGATTTCTAAATGTTGGCAACTGCTTCAAATAAAAACCAAAACCAAACCACTGGGTAGGACAAACCATACATGTGTGTTAGTGCAATTCATCTTGAATGAAGTCCATTAGTTTGTAACCTCTTACTTCAAATATTATTACTTTGTGGGGATGCATTCTCTTGTTACCATAAATAATGCCAGTTTAAAAAAAATCAGTGTGCTATGCTACTTTAAATTTTATCTGTTCACAATTACACACAACATTATGGACATTTATTCC